GGGGGGGGGGGGAGACGGACGGACAGACAGACAGACAGACAGCTCTTCCCACATTCTGTCTGTCGCCCCCGCCCCAGAGCAACCTCCAAGGCAAGCCTCAGTGGCACTGGCAGTGCCTCACCTGCCCTGGCCGCTCGGCCTCACTGGGTCCTCCACAAAGGGCTGCCGTAGGACCTGGTGGCAGCACTGGACACTGTGTGACTTGCTTTGGTACCAAGTTTCCCAGTGATCATCACATGAGAATCACAAGTTAAAGGAGAGTTCACAGTGTGGAGAGAAGAGAAACCACCTCAAGGAGTCCTCCAGGCCTCAGAGCCAGCTCCGAGCCCACTCCCCTCCCCGGAAGAACCAGCATCCACTGGCCTTCCAGAGGCTCGTGACAAGCCATTCAGTGGTAATCTCTGCCCGCAGGAGGCCCCACCCACTGGCTGTGTGTCTCACTTGAATCTAGGGCTGCAACCACAAGGAAACAACTGAAATGGGCGCACCAAGGGGGCTCAAGGCAGCATCTTGCAGAAAACTAATTAATGTCTGCATCTAGCTAGAGAGGGCCCTGGCTTGCAAAAGGTCAAGTTTCTTGAAGACTCTATTTGCCAATATAATTTAATTGTTAAGGCTAACACCCTAACATTTAATTAGGGTGCCAGTGTGAAAAAATTAAAATAAGATTACGATTAAATGCTAATTAAACAGAAGATGAAATGTGCAAAGATTTCACAGCCCTGATAATTTGCATATCTTATTAGCAAGTAGCAAGACGGCTGATAGAAGAACACAAACTCAGGTACTGGGTGCTTCTGTGGTATCCTTCGGCACCTCCCTTTGCTGGCTGGGGCTGGGTTATTTCCCTCTGGGACCCAGTATAGGACCTGGTGGGGGTAAACTGACCCCACAGTGGACTGGTGACTGTCTCAAAGTTCTCCCAACCCTGGCAAGCCACGTGGTACGACATCTAATACCCTGTTGCTCTGATGCCAAAAGGAACCGCCCAACAGTGAAAGCCTGTCATCTTGCACCGGAAATCAACCGTTCAAGAGCCAAGTGTCACTGTGTGCCCCTCCAAAAAGGCACAGGTGAGTTAGAAACCTCTTGCTGTTCCCTGATCCTGGGCTGTAGTTTAAATGTCACCCCTGAGGGATCACCCTGATCACCCTGACTCAGGGCCACCAACCACCCGACAGAGCCACTTTCCAGCCCATCATCCTGCCTCATGTCTCAGTACTTATACTCCTGAAAATTAACTGGTGTATGCATGTTGCTTGCTTCTTGTCATCTCTCCTGCCACACCTGTCCTATTCTCTGCAACATTCTCAATGCCTGGCAGGGTGACTGGCACATAGTAGGTGCTCAATAAATAGTGACTGAGTGGATGATTAAATGAATGCATGAATAAAAGGGCCCTTCAGGGCCCCCAGCTGGTTCCTTGGCAATGCTTTTTGAACCCCCATGAACAGGTGATACACACCATGGATATATCCAGAGCTGAAATAACCCAACCACGTGGACTGAATGGAGCAAGAGGCAGCCCTAGTCTGTAAGGCACAGAGTGCCAAGCCACACCAGCGGGGGGAGAGGTGGCCCTGACCTAGGAACAGGCTTGGCATTGAGAACTCAAGAGCTGGAAGGGATCCCGTGCTCAATTCAGTCAGGGAGATTCAGGGGAGGGAGGGAGAGAGAGAGAGAGAGAGAGAGAGAGAGAGAGAGAGAGAGAGCGGGAGAGAGAAAGAGTTCAGTCCCAAGAGAGTTGCAAGTTTCATCTGCGGTCATTCAGGCAGCAGGGGGCAGACTGGTTACCTGTGGCCCTTTTCGGCAGAGGACTGATGGAAGCACAGGAAGGGCAGCACCATCTTAATGGTACCAGTGAACACTTAAAGAGCACTGTGTGCCCAGTGCCAGTCTAATGGCTGTTCTTGAATTATTAGTCCCTATACCAACTCTGTGAGGTGGGTGCTACCATTATCCCTATTTTACAGTTGAGAAACCCGGGACTCAGGTTAGTTTAATAATCTACACAAGGTCCTTCATGTTGGAAGTGGCAAAGGAACCCAGACAGACAAACTGGAGCCATTCAGCACCCCTGCACAGCCCCAGCCCCTCTTGGCCACCTGCTCATTGCCAATGCCCTTGAGTTAACCCCAAGCCAAATCAAGTGGTTTCCCCAAGGGCTGGAATATGCAAATCAGACAGTGACCTTTGCAAGTTCCAAGTTCTCCAGTGGCTTTCTACTGTCTTCCCACTGCCCTCAGGCTGAGCTGCAGTCTCCCAGGCCCCACGGCCACAAGGATGCACGGGTAGTCTCCCTCCCAAGTACTTTTCACCCTTGGCACATGAGAGGACCCTGCTGGGACAGTCTTCTCCCCGCCAAAGTGGGGGCAGCCTGTTTCACGCTTAGGGTATTAGTCCAGCCCACATCTGCTCTGGGAAGCCTTCCCTGATGCCAGGCTGAGTTCTGGGCTCCTCTAAACTTCCACAGCCCCTGTACTGGAATCTCCTCGTCTCTTGCTGCAGCAGTGCACGCAGGGCCTGACACATGCTAGGTGCTAACTAAGGCTGAACTACTCAAGAGCCTCCCATGGATCTGCTACCACCTTTCTGGGTAGCTGCCCAAGGCTACAGCCCAGTACTCTGTACCTTCCAAAGGAACCCCTGTACATTCATACAAAACCTGTCCACAAATACAGCAACCCAAACATCTTTCTGTTTTGAACTGCCAAAGGTTAGGCTTTAAAAAAGGCTCGATTATTCTCCTAAAATGCCTCTGAATTATTTATGAAAACTAAATAAGGAATAAAATGGACACTGATGAACTGGAGGCCTTGCCATGGCAAGGAAGTTGGAAGCTGAAAAACAAGCAATTTTCTAAGAATGTGAATGTTTACTATTTTTCTCTCTTGGCAGAAATTGACAAATTGTCTTTAAAGGTCTGCTGCCTAGCAACCAAGTTCTGCTGAGCTGCTTGGGAGATGTTAATTGTAGCTTTCTTCAAACAGTATGAAGGATGTTTAAAGGTCTAAAACTCTAATCTAGTAACCAATGTGAGTGCCAGAGGTGCCAACTCAGCTCTGAAGGGAGCTGAAGGCCCTGCTCTGCCCAGATGCGGGGAAACTGCACGTGGCTTGCCCTCTAGTTCCTTTTCCCAAGACTGAAGACCACAGCATTGAAAAGTCTATAGAGCTTTCTGTACCTATTTCCCCAGAAGAACTAAAAACGGGCTATGCCAGACAGCGCGTCACGTCTGGAGTCTGACATGATGTCCAAAAGCAAATAAAGACAGTGACAAGAGGCAACTTTCACTATGCTACGCTAAGAGTTTCTGTATATGATCACAAGATTTATGAATGTTATTTGAACATTTCATCCTGGGACCTTAGTTTCTGCTTCCTTTTCTCAAGGGTTAAGTATTAACCCCAGACCAAGAGGCACAAGGGGAAGTTCAGTCACTTAAGGAAAAGCTCCAACGCCTATCACAGTTACAGAATATGATGATTTGTGTAATTATTTGTTTAATGTCCATCTCCTCTAATAATCAAGCTGAGAGAGGCAGAGACTGCATGTGTCGTGCTTATCACTATGCCCGTTTGTGGCACAGTGCCTGGCACAGAGCAGGTACTCAAGAAATGCTTGTGGAACAAGGGAGTGAGTAAGTGAATGAACCCCAGGATTGGTCTGAAGTATGACTAAACTCTGAAACTTCCCGTCCTGTC